TTTGATGATTTTATTGAAATTTTTGATGATTCCCCATACATTTCCTTATAACAGGACACCACAGAAACCAAGCTTGGGCTACCTGTGGTTGGGGTGTGTAGCGGAGGTACTTGTTGCCAGAGGGCATTTCCTTGACACGAACCCCCTTGGGGAAGAGATTGGCAGCTTCTTCCTGAAAGATGTTTGGCAGGACCATACGCTCCTCTCCAACATGTCCAGGAATAAAGATAAATTTATGTTTCTTATTACGATGCACTTAGACCAGAGGTAGCTCCTATTCTGTTTGTGGCAGCCTACTTTATGCAGTAAGTGTATGGGAATTTAAAAGTTTCGGGTTTTTTTTGTTTTTTGTTTTGTTGCTAAAATCATTTAATACTGGAAGTTCCACATGATTTCTAAAGTTGTTTGATCTTTGAATTCCAATGAATCTATGGAACAAATTTTCATCTACGAGCTTTACATAAATAGACAGCATTACCTTGAGCGGAATGCTAGGTGCCATTTCAGACCACGTGTCATTCTCTTGAGAAGAAGCTGTCTCTTCTCATGCGCAACCGTTTAACAAAGAAAGTATACTCAAGGTATTGACACGTGGACAAAAATGGGGAAACACTACGCACAAGGTAAAGAGGTTCATTCACCGCTTTCCATATTTATCGAGTGGGATTTCTGCGCAGTAGAGATTAGTAATTCACTAGATCTAAGACATTTATGGTCCATGCCCCTGCACGTGACGTCAAAGAAGCTCAATTTGGAGTACAAAACAAAAAAAATTCAATTTCATGAGAATTGGAATTGTTATGTCCTCCAAATAAAGCTGCATTCCAACGTCCTCAGATAAGGGGTGTATTCGCTCAGCTGATAAAAGTTTTTGAATCTCATTATCTGCTCCAAATGGTGGTCAAACACTACCCACCATGTGTTGTGGACAAGAAAGGATCCTATTGAAAACTTAAGATTCATCTGATGAATATTCCGCACGAGACAGGAAAATGAAGTGAAGTGAAAGCCAGCAATAGTGCGGCAGATATGTGGCTTAATCGTTCGCTTTGAGGTCAAAAGCACCAAAACTAACGCTCTTGATCAAGAGATTTGTCAGTTTGGCCTTGATGCATGTATGTTCGCTTCATTCGGATATTTTCAGCGTTGTAGTATGAGCCTGAAAATCATCAGATATTTTGAGTGCAAATGATTGGAAACTAGATTCATTAAACTATAAGTGATGTTCTACCTTGCTATATTAACAATTGCAAAAATCATGCATTGATTTCTGGCTAAAAATGATTCATCAAATTTATGAACTGAGGTTGAGCTTTGCAAACAGATACATGATGAATATGCTATGAAACAGAATAGAAATAAAGAATAAATTACACGTATGTTCCTGCAATGAACTTATGGAACTCGATTGGCTCTTCCCTGGAGTCCGCCTTGAAGTTAGGAAACACATCGCCGAGGTTGACCATTTTAAACTGCTGTGCGACGAGTTGGTGAATTGATGCGACAAGTTGTTGATGCAAAAGTCTGCTCACCCCCACACCACGAAGTGAACGTCAAGTGAAAACCTTTGATTGAAGACTTTTTAAATTCAATATCTTGATGTTTAGGGCCGGGCAATTAGATTTTTGAAGGGGGGGGGGGGGG